TTTGATTGTATAACATTTTTAAAATAATTATACATTTTTTTTGTTAATTATAGTTATATATGCATGCATAAACATATAGTCTCTTGCGGATATGACGTGGCCTCAGCACTTTAGGGGCAGCCCTCGTTGCGCATTTAGATTACTGACTTTTTATTGCTTACTGCTCTCTCCCACTCTCTCCTCCTGTCGCTCTCCTCCCCACTGCGGCCATGTAATTGCTATGACGCCATGCTAGGAGCCCAACGGGCGATGAATTATTAATTGCCGTTGATTTGCATTGAGATTTCTTGGCCCGAGTGGTTCATTATATGGGAGCCGCACTGCTGGCCAAAATGATTGCAGTCCGTGAAATTGCAAGCCAAGTGTAAACATAATAATCAACGGACATTATATGTCGATATGCATACATATGTATGTATGTATGTGTATATGGCGATCAGCAAATGCGCTTTGCAAAATGGCCGCCGGACAACGCGCGGCCCCCAATTGACACCTGAGCGTTCGCCGTTTTGCTGTTGCTGTTGCTGTTGCTGGTGGTTGCTGACGGTGGTGCTAGTGGTGTAGTAGTGCAGTGGTGCAGCTGTAATTGTTATTTATGCACTTGCATTTCACTGTAATGGCATGTGGCCCGCCTAACCCCTTGGTGGTGGGCGTAACTGGAGCGTTTTGGTAGCCCGGACGATTACATAAGAGTTTTTAACACTCTTAATTGCAACAGCCGCCAAAGCTGAGACACATTCCACATTAATACACATTACGGGCAAGTGCATACGCCCCCCTTAAGGACTGGCCAACGTGTGCCACACTGTGTACACAAAACGATGACAAATCAAAAAAACAATTATCATAAAAAGAGTGAGAGAGAGAGAGAGAGGTGGAAGCGGGAGTGGAAGAATCAACTATAAGGGCACACGTGCTTAAGTCCGACTTGGAGCATAGAAGATGGCTGGCTAGTGATGGTAAATCTAGTTCAATTGTTGAATTGTTCACGAGCTCAGTCTCAACAGCGATATAAAGCGATACAGAGAAATGAGTCAGTCATGAGCGATAAGGTATTCTGTTATTCATAATCGATAGCTGGAACTCCTTCTGCATGAACGACATGTCTGGTTCATTTTAAAGAGCCGTTCAGAAGAACGTTGCGACACAGCTCTAATTGTGACTCTGACGATCGGGATGAGGATGAGGATGACGTTGGCAATGGGCTGAGTTGACTACTGTGTTGCTGCTGCTGCTGCTGCTGCTTGGCGGTGTTGATCCCTGGAATTCGTCTTGGGCAAAGGCAAAAGTTGCAAACGCCGAACGGCTTTTGTGCTGCTCGCAACCACTTAACTTGCTTAAGCGCTGTTTGCTTGTCAAAATTGCAGCATCCGCAGCAGCAACGGCAGCCACAGCCGCAGCCGCCGCCACCGCAAATAATAACAGCCACARCAACAACAACACCAAAATACACGTCTCTCTTGGCAAGATGACGCAGTCAGAATGGCTCTTCAGCTGTAGCCAAATGAATTAACCCTTTTACTTTGCACACATCCAACGGCTAAGCAGTGCCTGCCAGCCACAACAACACCAATAACAGCCACAACAAACACAACAACACCGGCAGCCGATTTGTTATATTCCTGGAGCTACTGTCGTTGCACGGTTGTTGTTGCTTTTGCCATGAGTGGGTTCAGTGTTTTTGGCCATCGACATGCACCAGCGCGAAAATGTTAAGAGCTCATTGACGTCGAGCATTTTGTATTATTATTTCTTAAAATAATTTAAGTTRGTTAACTTATTTATTTATGGAGGAAAACGCTATTCTACACTTTGGCTATCATTTTGTTTTACATTCCATCCGATAGTTAATTCTACAAATAACAGAAAAGCCTGCTGAGATGGCATTCTAATTGGCAACGACACTGAAGTATCAATGCCAGTGGAATGTGCAATCGATAACAATCGTGGAGTATCTATGTAATGCTTCAGCTAAATGTGTTCTAACATTTTCGCAACGTTTTCTGGTGTGTATTTAAATACAAATGCTTACCGCTTGCCACTCGAGCTGGCGGAGCGATGGAGAATTGCGCGTAAATTCGTTGCGGTCTTGTGTGTCATCAACATAATCGCCGTCAACGGGCCGTCAACAACATCAAACTGGCAGCAAAACGTTGCTACTGTTTCCACCAGCAGCAACAACAGCAACAGCAACATCAGCAGCAGCAGCAGCAGCAGCAGCAGCAGCAGTCCGACAAGGACCAGCAACTGCAACAACAACACGAACCACAACATTGGCAACGGGGCAACTCTGAAGTGGTTTTTTATGATGAGCGAGAAGCACTTTCAACTGCCTTAGCCTCAGTTGGAGCCAACAAAAGCGTGTCAAACATACTGTACTAAAACTGTCAGACGAGAATTACACAAAAACACATAAGCACACGTATAAACGTATGTATGTATATATGCACACATATAGCTGTCTTTGTCTACGGTGTGTGTGTGTGGGTGTGTGTGTGCATTTGTGGCGTATTCTAGAGTGTAAAAGATCCAGTCATAATGCGGGCGGTTCTATTTCAGTTCTACACCATCGAGACCATATTTAACCTGGCGCTCATGTTCCTTCACATTGACGGCTTTCTCTCGCAGCCCCTGGATGCACTCACACTCCAAAGGCGGGTGTCTTACTTTTTCTACTGTGCCTGCTTCTACGCCTTTACGGTGCTGATCGTCTTCGCGAGCATCGACAACTGCACCGGGCACCGGCTCTCCCTGTGCGAGGAGGTCGTGCGCAATGTGATCGGCTTTGTGATGTACGTGATCATTTCACTGATGACACTGGAGGATGCGGAGCAGGACTTCAACGTGCTGGGCGTCAATATCCATGACACATTGGGCGTGGAGAAACCAGTGCATCCATTCTTCATCTACATGCGATACCAGGCGGCTGCCTCCCTGGCCTGCGGCGTGATGTACTTGCTGCACGCCACCATTGCCATCGACGTGCTCCTGTCTAACGAAAGGGGCTTCTACGAATACGACGACGCCGACGACAATGAAGGCAGCGACTATATACCCGCGCGCATCTACTTCATGAGCGAGTGGGTGCAGTCGAAGCTGGAGCAGTACGAGTGGTTCCAGAGCTTCAGCCGCAGTGCTACGATCCATGTGTAACGGACGAGTCCTAGAGATCATCGAAGTCAACATCCATGACAAAGCTGCCAGAAAGAAAGAGCAACAAAATATTTACTACAGGCTAAGCACATTTATAATTCCATATATCCAGAGTATATATAATATAATATTTCCCCACAAAATGCGTGCGGTGCTCTTCCTCTTTGACACACTCGAGTTCGCGCAGAATGCTGTGATTGCGTTCTGCCACATTGAGGTGTTCTTCACGTATCCGCTGGGTCCTGCGGCATGGACGCGTTTCGCCTATTACCTCTGCACAATCATGTTCTACGTGTTCACAATTCTCACCGTCTTCGCCAGCATCAACGTTTGCACTATAAGCCCCGTTTCCCTGGTCAAAGAGATCGCCCGCAACGTAATCGGATTTTTGCTGTATGTGACGCTATCATTGATCATCATGCATAAGGCTGAGCAGGATTTGAGCTTATGGGAGCCATCGGATGACTATGAGGGTCTCGGCCAGTTGCCAATGGATACGTTCAGGAAGTATATGCGAATGCAGTCTATAACCGCTCTCTGCTGCGCCATTACCTACCTTATGCATGCCACCATTGTCATTGACATTTACTTGTCCGACGAGGACATCGATTTTGCGTTTGACGACTCCGATGACAGCGATCCGGACGGATATGTCGCCATTCATATATACTTCTTGGGCGACGTGGTTCAGAGGAATCTTGAGCAATACGCCTGGTTCCAGGAGTTCGAAAGCGGCATTGTCAGGCAGTTTTAAGGAAGAGATGCTGCAGCTACCAAGCGTCTAGTAATGGAATACTGTATGGTTTAATTAATAAATAATAGCCAACATTTGTTCTGAAAAGTATGCTACAAAGATGTACCTGCAATCGCAACAAATAACTGTTAATTAACAGTGGCAAGTATAGACTCGGCTAGCAGTCATTAAAGAATGTAAAACATCGCCTGTAGCTAACAGTCGCTGGTTAGAGTATTCAGTGGTAACAGTTATATATGTACAGCATTAGGAAGATTTCAGCGAACTTAACATCGCCTTTAGCTAGCAGTTGCTGTTAAAAGACTTTAGATTGGCGCTGTTAAGCAACAGTGATCTCGTTAAAATGTTACATACAGCTCTCATTGGTTAACTTCTACAATTCCAACAACTTGTTTTCTGTTAGTATTAAAAATAAAAATTAGATATGTATAATCCACGCGTGATAGATAATTAAATTTCATCATTCTCTACTCTGTTAAGTCATAAAAAGTAATCAAAATATGTTAAATCATTTATCATGTTACCATAAGCTGAAATATTATACATTTAAAATGTTTCCCAATGCTCAGTTCACTTATTCGAGTGCCTATGACGTCAGTGACGCAACAGTTTTATTCCTTGCCAAGCACCCAAAACGTGACGCCAATCTGCCACACAGATAACCTGCCCAACTGGCTGCCAGCTGGCTGGCTGGCTGGCTGGCTGACTGGCTCGCAGGGCGCCTGCGTCGTCTCCCAGTACAGTACAGGCAAAAATCAATAAATTATGGGCTAAGGCCAGTCAAGAGCAAGGCAAAACATTGGCCCTGCCCTACGAAACTTTTCCACGCTAGGCGCTTTTCGCTGGCTTCGCCCAACTTCTACTGACGCTGGCCCCGGCCCCGGCCCTCCTTTCCCTTTTTTCATTCACTCCTTCATTCATTCATRAAACTCAGTGCGTTTACTCTCCGCTTCGCTCAAGGCTATATTTATCGCATGCCAGCCAGCCGGCCGGAAATTGCTTTGGGAGACACTTTTCACAGCACTCGAGGAAAACTTTTCTGCATATAAACTGCAAAATATATCCAATATTATGTATTATGTATGGGGAACTTAAGAGTTGCTTGATTGGACTCTTTAATAGGCTTAGAATATGTTGAAATCACAATTTAAACTATCTAAATCTAAGGAATATCTATAATATTATTTTAACAAAATTAAAAAATTAATTATTATATTATATGATTACAAGCAATACTGCTGTCTACTTTTTGTACAATATATAATTACAAATATTACAATTTTATCGAGAACCTGCTTTAAAGTTAAGAACAACAGAGACATAGTTTTTAATATACGTAAAATCTCTGTGTTGACTTAATTACGTGCGGCTGCACAGCAAATCACTTTAATTAATAAATGATTCTCGTACAAAGGTCATAAATGTAGCCTCCATTAAGTACATATACATACGTACATGAGAAAATCGATAAAGATGCCAAAACGCGTCCTTGAAAAGTAGGGGATGGGCCTCAAAATGAGTTTTGGCCAAAGCCATTCATGAAATGCTTTCGGCGTTGGCTTTTCATGAATGAAAGGAAACCCCAGACGAATTCGACGTTCGAAATAGGGGAAATAGCGCGAACCGACAGACATGCGCGCTGAACGCATACAAGCATACTATATATCTATGTATATGCAGTGGCAGTGTGAGATGGAGCTGGAAAGCTACCCCGAACAGCAGCTCTGACGTAACTGCGCTCAAGGTCAGCGTAGAATTTCATTCATAAAAATGAAACGCCCAACGGCGTGTTGCGTGTGTAGCGGTAAATTGAATGTAAATGTAACAGTACACATGTGTGCGAGTAAGAACGTGTGAGTGTGTGTGCATGCGCGTGTGTGTGTTTCTGTGTACACGCGCGTGCAAGCCTCAGGGGACGCGGCGCAGGACGCTGCGCCACTTTTAGCTAACGGTAAAAGCGCGCTATTTGTAGCTTGTTGATTTTTCTACGCGTGTAAACACGATGCCAGCGAATAAAGCCATTTTCATTCATGAAATGCCATTCAGCATTGACAGGGGACCACCCTCGGCAACCCCCTTCACCCCTCTATCGACCCTTGTTGAGTACACATCTTACTTAACTTCACCCGCAGCTTTAGCTAAATGAGTAAGCTCCCTGCCAGGGTGCACTGACTCATGGCTGCCACACAGCCAGTTGCCGGACCATGGAAATCGTTCCAGCATTGTAAGCAATGGCCGGCGAGATTGGGCAGCCCACACAAATAGGCAACGAATGACTAAAGGTTAACCTAATAGTCGAGCAAGTTGGCAGCCATTTCCGGTTAAATTAAAATGTGAGAATGTGCGACCTATAATTGATGGCAGCTTTCCGAGTCACATCAACAATATTCAAATGTCTGAATAGGAATAGTAGGAATAGTAATAGTAGCTATAAGATATATGAAAGTCTTATTTAATTTTTACTACTAATAACAATAATGTGATCTACCTAAACAAAATTCGAACAAATATTTAATCAGTGCCTAAAAAGTATGCTAGATTATATTGAATTTCGACTACAATTAACAGTGCAATTAAGTCTGTTAACTATCAGCTCAGCCCAGTTGCAAATTGTCTAAGACAATTTGTCTTACAGTCACCGCGAACTGTTACATTTGAAAACAAAATCAGGCCACTGCAGTGCACTGTCAAAATACTGAACAAGTTACTTTTAATGTTAACTAACAGCTCTGTCTATTAATCAATCATTGACATCTGCTGATGTTAATGTAAGCTAACAGCAAACGACAGAGCTGGACATTTTTTCACATACAAACATGCAGCCCTGGTTAGCGGGTACTATTCAAATTTGAATTGAAATAGAAATTCAATTGAAACCTGAGATAATTTCGTCTATTTTTCTTTGCTACTGCATGAATTCAAATGATCACACTTAAAGTGAGCAGAACGCTTAGGCCTATAGAGAACATAGTCAGCTTACCTGATAACATACATGCATATATAAATTCATTTTACTTAGGCATACATACACATAATCCAATTTCCAATCCCGATTTACAGCAGACACACGCAAAATACAAATTTATAATTAACTAATCAGTTAAAGCTACGTTGCGTTGTTGCCAGAAACTGGAGTAGTTAGCTTCTCGTTGAGACTCTGCACGCCCATAAATGGCTCCGACTCGGAGCGCTTGTGGGTCCGCTTGGGCAACCCCTTGGCACGGTCTAGGTGAGCACTGACACTGGCCACAGCCCCAACGGCATCGCTGAGCTGCATTAGGTCCGGCTCGCTCCGTGCCAGCTCCTCATCCTGATAGACCTCCTGATTATTGGCATTGGAGTTGACATTCGTCACCTGCTCATTGAGGCAGACATCATCCAGGTCAACGTCGCTGTTGGAGAACAGCGCAGTGGCACCCAGCTCCAGCGAATTGGTCACATCCAACTCCTGTTCGCAGGACCCCTTGATGGGTGTGGAGGTCGAGGTGGCACGCGAGAAATTCAGACCTGGCTCCAAAGGCAAAGTGGCCGCACTTGTTGGCTTGAAGGAAGGCCCGTTGTTGACACTGCTGTTGACATTGTTGTTGTTGAGCAATTGCACATTGGAGGTGGGAAAGGCAGCAGGCGTTGCTCCAATCACGGGCACATTGGTCATGCTGCTGGGCGTGGAAGTGTTCCTTTCCGTCTGATGCTCCTTCATCAGCTTGCACGCCTTCCCCAGAGCGCAGATAGTCAAGCAAATGCGTAGACCCAGGGCGAATAGGTAGGCGAGGAGAAAGAGCAGCCACGCAGCCAAATTGTGGAAGGACACTGCCGTATAGATGGCCTTGATGAGTACCACAGCCAGCGGAAATGGTATGAAGCCCATGCGACGTGCCACCAGGTCCGAGTGATCAGAGAAGGCGTGCTTCTGGCGCGTCTGCGTCATGTCGTAAGCCAAGCTCGTCGTGTACTCCCGATAGATGCTCTCGGGCAGCTCGTTGAATCGCGTGATGAACGCATGCTTCACCCAGTCGATAAGTATTTCGGTGAAGAGCACGGCAAAGCAGTCGGGCAACATGACGCAGAACTGGGTGATGCTCCAGTCGAACTCCTTCATCGTCTGTATCATCACAATGAACAGCAGCACACTTAAGTGGAAGCGTTCGCGCACATCGCTGCAGGTCAACTGAAAGAGGTTGTTCTTGTCGAACTTCTTGAATACCGATCCCTTGAGCTCCACGAAATTATTCGATATCATAATGGTGAGCAGACCCTTGTTGTTCGAATTAACGGCTACATTTAGACAGGTTGCCTGCAAGAGTGATAGAACTGCTATTTAGGAATAAAGCATAAAGTAAATTTTCGAATTTCGATTAACCTGAAACATGATGAGTCCGCTGTGCAGGAACACATAAATAAGAGTAAAGAGAATATGCGTTAGCACTCCGAAGTGCTCACGCTTTGAGTTCTTTGGCTCCGTAGCCGTCCAGAAGAGCGCATCAATCGTGTCCTGACCAAAAGCGGAGAGCAAACGATCGCCCACCTCGAGCATATTGTAGAATATATACAACTTGATTATTGACTGGGATTTGATGATGTGATAGACGCGATTCGTGTCCACGAGCAGCATTATCAATGTCACCGTTATCCAAATGGTGCCCTTGAGCAAATCACATATCTCTGCGGGAGACAGCAGTCGCTGACCGCCGCCACGCATTCGAAAAATCCGGGCAACAGTCCGTGTCAGAAGTGACCACACGGCTAGTAAAAATCTGACCGGCAGAAATGTGTGGATATAAAGGAAGGAGTCAGCGCATTGCATAATCCCGTAAACCATAAAGCGCTCCAGATCTCGTGGAATGCGCATGAAACTGTAAATTTTTTGCCGGCGTGCAGAATACCTCTCCTCGTCATGCTCTAACATATAGCCGCGTGTCATTTCCACTTTGAAGAAGTCATAAAATGTGCTAGTCTCTGAGCCAGCTGTGAGAGAAACCATTCAGATAGAATCATAGATTCTACGATTAGTCATATTTACCGTTAAAGAGGCGGTGCTGAGTACCCGTTGTTGCAACGCCAACGTCATCCGCAGCTGTTGACGATTTGACCTTTGGCAGTTTGTGGGCTTCTTCGGCCGGCAGTACCTCAATGTGACTGATGTTCCCGCTGACATCACCCCGATAGCGGAGTTGCCTTTTAATGCCGATATTCGTATGAGAAGTATGCATTTAATACTTTTTTCTGTTTTGTCAGCTTGGCAGCCGATTATAGTTTGTTTTGCTACGCTGTTTCTTATGCGAGTGTGCCCACAACAACTAAAGACAAAAGGTGAGTGTATGTAGCCCTGGTTGCGCATATTTATAGAGCAGTGTGTGCATATACAAGTTACTTTCGAGAAAGTTCAACATTTGTTTGTTCGATTTTCTGGACCTCGCGTCATGGTAAACAGTTTACTTTATTTACTATGGTTACCAACAGTATTTTGCTTTCTAAAATACTTTTAAACGAGCACTTTTAGAATTAATTGTATTGGTCTTTACTTGGCCGCAGAAGGTGAATTTTGTTTTGCTACGCTGTTTCTTATGACGGCAGTGTGACCATTCAATGGAAAATTATATTGGCTTTGTAGCATAAGGCTACTCCATGATTATCAATTCAATAGTGTGTACACACTGACATTACTTTTAAGCAAAAAACTTAACAATTTATGTTTGCATTGTTTTATTAGTCGAATTGAAAAATAATATGAGTGCGTCTATAGATTTGAGCTCATATCGTGATCAACACTTCAAGGTAAGTACGACTTCTATGATACGTTGTTTTTAAATTTATCATTTTGATCACAAAATTTTTTTTCAGGGCTCACGGTCGGAGCAGGAGCGGTCGTTGCGCGACTCCAGTACGCTCTATGTAGGCAACTTATCATTTTACACAACCGAGGAGCAAATACACGAGCTGTTCTCGCGCTGCGGTGATGTGCGCATCATTGTGATGGGCTTGGACAAGTATAAGAAGACACCGTGTGGATTCTGCTTTGTGGAATATTACACGCGAGCTGAAGCAGAAGCTGCCATGAGGTCCAATAAACAAAAATAACCAAATTGATCAAAATTACTAAAATTACAAAGTTACTATGCATTACAGATTCGTGAATGGTACGCGACTGGACGATCGACTGATTCGTGTGGACTGGGACGCGGGATTCATAGAGGGCCGACAATATGGACGCGGCAAAACCGGCGGACAGGTTCGAGACGAATATAGAACAGATTACGATGCAGGACGAGGCGGCTATGGCAAGCTGCTCTCCCAGAAGATTGCACCCAACACCGACAACCGCTAGAGATAAAATTAACACCTCAATCCAACTAGATATTAAACAAAATCATTCATTACGCATAGTTCATCTAATTGCATTTTTATTTAATCTCTACATAGCTGTTTAGTAATTGAAAACATGATATTTCGGCACTATTATTATTGTATGATTCATTTTACTTCTTGCCAATGTTGTTGGCCAGCGAGCAGCTGAGGCCAGTGCCATCGGGTTCGATGTTTAGCTCCTTAACCTCGCCGTTCTCTACGACCATAGAGTAACGCTTGGATCGCACACCGCCCAAGGGAGGAAGATCGATATTCACATCCAATGCGGATGCAAAAAGACCAGCAGGATCCGCTAGCATACGTACTTTGCCAGTTGCTCCGTGCTCCTTGCCCCAGGCAGACATCACGAACGGATCGTTGACAGAGACGCAAACAATTTCATCGACGCCCTGTTCGGCTTTAAGAGAGTCTGCTCCACTTACGTAGCCCGGCAAATGAGTCTGTGGACAATTAATTATTTCATAATACTCTCAATCGATTATCTTTTTATCGTCTGAAAACTTACTTTGGAGCATCCAGGCGTAAATGCACCGGGCACACCGAAAAAGATCACTTTCTTGCCATTCGTTAGCTCGCCGGTGTTTATCTTATTCGCTGGGGAGTCCTCGAAGAGGTCCACGGACGGGACTTTATCTCCAACCTGAAGCACACATACAAACACATTAACGGTAATAGAACTGATGTAACCTTGATACAGTGCACTTTGTGACATCTCTGCCGCCGCAATCAATATTTATGAGGCCCCTCTACTTATGCTTATGTAATTTTTACATTTTAAAAATTGTGGGCGAATTCATTTCGAGTAATGACAAGCGCTCTGCCTACCTTAACCATAGCTCCAAGGGTTCTAGAAAAAGATCGCACGTTCGGCTTCGTAGAGTTAACAACTCGGCTAAGAAAATTGCACGCCTGCATTTCTGACACTCACTCAATTGCCAATGCAAAGCATAGAGTTGCCACGCTGTTCGAAATTAAAGTCGAATCGGGTATGACAAGTTATTTAAATCAACTCAGTCATAATTTTTTACTAGAATGCTCGGGAAACAATTAAATAAAATCAAGTAAAATATGTGTTCTTCTCAGCGTCAATATGTTGATAGATTTATCAGATTTATAAGCAATTATCAGCGAAACGTTCCAAATCGTCCAAACTCTGTTCCTTCAATTTTGCCTCGAAATCTGTCATGAATTCGTTGGTCAGCCGTTCCGCTTGAGCTTCCGTATAGTATTTGCGAAATGCACGATGAATGCAGTCCCGTAATCCAGGTTTCATCACGACAAGAATGAGTTTAGTGCCCTCTTTGATGTTTGGATAGGATGCAATTGTCTGGTCATTATTTAATGGTCGACCAAGCAAAAGGAGTTTCTGATTTGTGGCGGGAATTTGTAGAGCGACATCTATTTTTTCTTTCAATTCCTGAATCGTGGACGTCGGCGACACCTGGCCAATGAAAGGAATACATTTTAACATTGCTTAGCATATAAAGGAAATAAAAGCCTACCTCAAGTGTGCAATCTTTGCCCTTAAGCACTTTAATTATTATTTTCATGACGGTTCTTATGTGTGTTAACTTTTTACAAGTTATTTATTTTATAAACAAAAAATCGCATTTAAGAGTTGCCATCTGCAATTTAGTGATGCAAGCCTATTCCGATATTTATGATACTTCAAATATTCTTATCAACATCGATAAAATTTAATTCATTGCCAATTTAGAGGTAGGCCAACAAGTGTCATCAAATAAAATAAATGACGCTTCCTCTCTTTAAAATGAATCACTATATTAGTTTTTATTTTCGTGCAAATGATTCATCATTAATTAAACTCCTTGAAGATTTTAGAATTCGACATAAATTTGATTTAATAATTCATTCAATTTAGTACTCAAATTAAAAAAATATATATGAAATTGATAAGCTCCAAATTAATCGATCAATCAAATCGATATTTAACTGATTATAGTTAAGTTTTAAAAAATGTACTTAAGTATTATCGAGTGCAAATTAATCTTTTTAAGATTCAAAGCGCAAATATTAATAGCTACTTATTAATGTATACAATAAAATAGTCACTATAAAAATAAGCAATCCTTGGGACAGCAATCAATTGTGCAATATCGATGTATTATAATTTACGTATCGATAAGACTGGCTTGGAGAAATATTAACATCGATACTAAAAAAAAAATAACATCTTGGTCTATCTGGCAGCGCTACTTCTATTTGGCAGCGACGTTGCGTGAACAAAATATTTCACAAAAATAATAATTCATAATTTAACTAGCACCTGATGTGAAGTGTGCTTGATAAAAAGGTTAACCAAAAATCATAGTGATGATACTGCGCCGTGATTTCAGTGCGTCAGTCTTGTAAAATTCGCAATCGGAGAATGAAAATTATGGCACAAAAGTGAAGCGCAAAAAATTCACATAGAAATATCCCAGCCTCGAGAGCTTGAGTGAATAAACGAGAAAACAGTGCGATTGCGATTGTGAGTGTATGTGTGTGTGTGTGWGAGTGTGTTAGAATTCACATTTTACGTAAAAACATTAACAGGAATACATCTTTAATCAGCAGAATATTTAATGTTAAATCGCAGTAGAGGCAAATGGAATAAGATCTTGCAGCTTCTAGCGGTAAATAGACGGCCCCTTACTGTTGAACCAGCCCAAAATGCTACCCCATTTAACATTCACACATACAGTTTAATTCCTTTTCTATTTTTGGTTTTTTGTTTTTTTTATTCATATCTATTATTGTTTGGTTTGACTTTTTGCTGCAACTATTAATTATGCACAGTACACATTCAATTTCTCATTCTCTACGTTTCGCCATGTTACGAGGGGAGCTGTAGCTCTCCTTGCTTTTTCAAAGGTGACATACAAATAGCTGATGTATTTTTTTATACATATGTATAGCCAGTGGGTCTAAACAATATATTTGTGTGTAGCGCATTGAACGGCCCAGCAACAACAAGCCGCTCAGTCACCGCGACTCCCCCCTAAGAATATCAACAAACGTTGTTGTCCACATACACATACCCACACACACTTGGCTTTCGCATTGGCCTGGGATGAATTCTGAGTCTGGCAACTCTAATCGACGGCCATTGCTTCGCAACTTGTTGCTTGCTGTCGCATTGCGTCTGTGTGCTTTGATATTTTGTTATTTATTTTCGGATTGCAATTTTACGGAAGTGCCGAAAGACAAATATTCTCTTATGAGCAATTCCTTTGCACCTTGTAACTAAAATAATCCCAATTAGTATTTATACTCAGAGATACATGTCTCAACGTATTTGTATCGAAACCGATAGAGTGCAACTTCTTGAATGTGTTTAGAACCGTTTAGAACCGGATTCGGCTTGGTATTGATGTGTGACAACTTTGTCTCTTACGACTAGCGCTTTTCATTCTACCCCGCAGAATACTCATATGTGTGTTTGCGTGTGCGTGTATTGGATGATCGTAAAGTTTTCTGCATGTTGTTGTTGTAATTTTTTATCTAACTTTATTTACGTTATTGCCATGTTAATTTTCTTCTCAACACGTCCACAGCGGTGGAGCTTAAATTACCAAATACAAATCAATTAAGAGAACAAAAAAAAAAAACGCAAAAGTAATTTAAAACGAGTATTTTAAAAACTCTTAATTCTGTTGTTTGCGGCCACAGCTGTTGTTGTTAGTGTTGTTAAACGTCAATTCAGTAGAAGCAGTACAATCCGGCAGCAGCATATAAGTCTGAGAGCGTATTATGGATAACGAAGCGTTAGAAGCAGCAACAAAAACCACGACAGCAGCAGCAGCGGCAACAGCGGCGGCGGCGGTGTCATCAGCGTCAGCGATAGAGGCGACAGCGCCTTCCAAAAGCGAGACGGCCACAACAACAACAAATAACAACAACACTATTAAAGTCACAGCCGCCTCTAACGGTATCAAAGAGAATAACAGTAGCTTTAGTACAACAGCAACAACTCCAGCAGCAGCAACAGCAACAACCCCGATTATTGTGACCAGCGGAATCGTTGCTACTCCCGTCAAAAGCGAGGTGAGTAATAAATGTTGTTCGATATAATGCATCTACATATATATGTACATAATATATGTGCACAATTCGTTGTCCAACACTTGTCACTTTTAGTTAATAATATTTGCATATTTCAATATTAGAAAGAAATCAGAAATCAGAATCCCAGCCTCTAAATCTCATATGATATTGATTAACTATTTCTATACAAGTGAATATGCAAATGGTTATTAGTAATACTGCAACACAACAAATTCCCAATGTCCCGACGCGAATATAGCATGTTTCATGATTGACGTCAATCATAGAACGATCTATGTGTTAGTCTCGTCGTGCCTCCATATAGTGTATAACTTCCTTCTGGCCCCAACCTAAGCGCACTAATGCATATCTAATCTTATCACCGCCGATGTGTGTCCATATGCCCAATCGATTCCAATTAGACTCTTAGTTTTTGCCTTCGAATCAGAAATTTATGTAGCAATTCACCAACACTAAACACATACACGCATATATATATAGTAATGTATGTGTGTGTATGTACGTATGTGTAGAGAGTGCACATTTACCTGTTGGCATTACTAAAAACAAGACTAACAACCCACAGGCGACAGCTCAACTTAGGCGGCAAGGATTTGCACAGAACAAGGTAATGGGAAAGGTGTTGCGCGAAGGGAACTGAATTTAAATGTTTGCAAGTGCTATTTGCTATATTTTCTTTTTGATTGGTCTTTTTCCTTTTCTTTTCGTTTCGGTCTGTTGCTTCACTCTCCCCTGCTCTGCGCTCCCACCAAATATGTCGTTCTGTTTTGGCTGACCATGAATTTACTCGATATTTACAGGCTAACAAGACAGACAAGGACAGCACGCCGCCCCGTGATGCGCCGCCACTCACTCCTCTCACAAAGGGCTTGAACCTAACCGGCACTCCACTGGTGCGCAAGGAGAAGCGACAGAGCAGCACCCGTTATAATGTGTCCAAGAACTGCGAACTAACGCCGCTAAGCACGCTGAATGAAAGTAAGTACACTGCAGCATATGCACGTGCATGCATACATACACAGCTATTCGAATATGTGCATGTATGTGTGAGCGTATTTACACTTGTAATTGTGATGTATGATTTGCGTATTCCGCACAGCTGTCGAATTGCAGTTGTTTGTCGGTATTTTTTAATGCGCTATTATTTATTAAGCAAGTTCGTAAAGGTCAAGTGAGCGATGTTCATTTTGACGGGTTGCTCAACACTTCACCACACACACTATCATAAGCACATAGGGTTCTAGTTGTGCATGTGTTAGTTACGCCCGCCACCTCATTTTCGCCACTTGCCTTGCGCGCCGTTTACGCTCTCCCATCGCATCCCTCTAATTCCGTTCAGGCACTCTCTTTCTCTCGCTCTGTCCCCGCGCTCTCTAATTACAACACAATGAGTTTTTGAGCTTTTTTCTGCGATTATTGCTTATCTTCTTGACAATTATTCAAACGTTCGCTATTGGCGTTCAATTCGTTGTCTGTTTGGCAGTTTGGCCACTGTTGTTGTCGCCGTCACTTTCTGGCGCGCTCTTTTTTTGCCACTTATTGTGTCTCTTTCGCTATGACTCTCTTTGGCTCATCCTGCGCTCGCCCACGGGAAATGTTATCGATTTTTCTGCCTGCGTGCCCTTAACGAATTGCCCTGCAGTCAACACGGTTCTCTGGCAGCTCTGCATTAAAATTTTTTAAGTAAACGGGTTTAATTGTTGCACTTCAGTTGTGTTTAGCGAAGATTTTCCGTTATCGGACGTCCAGCAAAGGGACATTTATAATAATAATTATACACCAAATAAAAAGCTAAAATTCTAGACATTGCAAAAACCGGTAGCGTTTCCAATACAAATTCGTAAGTGATGAAAAAATATAGAAAATACATACCTATACATAC